TTTCCTCAATTTGATAGGTCATTTTTATAGGATTTTTTATTAAAAGAAGAATGCCGCAAACTACAATGCGCCATAATTCATAGTTTTCGAGGTATCAATTTTAAAATGTCAGAATAATAACAATACATTTGCCACAACAATTAATAGTACGTACATTTAGGAATATATTTAATGGAATAATTATGTGTGTACATGTGTATAAAGTAAAAGTGTGCGCGGGGGAGGGATAAAATCTCTCCCTCTGCATTCCCAATCCAAAAAAATCTGACTCAAATTTATTTCTTATTAAAATTAGATTTGGTTGATTAAATTACTACCATTTTTAAAATTAGATTTGTTATATTAAAAAATTTAATAAACAGTGTTTACAAAAATAAGAAAGTTCTTGCCAAAAATTTTTTAATCTCAATATATTTGAAAAATAAAATTAAAATTTTGAAACATGGATATCTCGAAAACTATTGATCCTATGATCAATACGCAACCACATCGTCGTTTTTGCGATGTATTTTTTTCTCGGTATAAAATCTATTAAATACATCTATTAAATTGATAAATCCCGGAAATAACGTCTGAATTAAAGTAACATTACTTTTTGTCCTATTTAATAAAATTATTCTCTCAATTCAAAATTATACTCTAAAAGTTTCTGATATACAACGTAAATACACATTTCTCAAAATTAATCCGTATAAACTTCGAAGTTCATCAATCCTAATGCGGGAAACATCCGTTCGAAAATCCGACTAAAGTTATTAGCATTGCCGTACCCGCTAAAACTGTGCAACGTTTCGAATAAATCGCAACTCGCGCAAAGAGAAACATTGAATCCCGGATTACGTTTGTTTTTCGTATTTAAATAAATGCGATTCCGCGCGCGCGCGCGCGATTAAATGCGACATTTTGATTTTCATCTGTGTGTACACACATATGTCCCAATTCTAATCGGATACTACTTCATACGAGAGATTTTAAATATTAAATATTCGTTATTATATCGCAAGTTAAATATGAAATAATTACAGAAAGATGACGTTCGCAATTAAAGTGGCGCTATGAAAAATCGATTTTAAATTGTTTACAAAATCCAATCGGTAAAAAAGAAAGATGAGATGAGAGACTTGGATTATTTAGTATATATTTTCTCTCTTTCTCTGTTGAATATTTTTTTGTCAGGAAAAATCTAAAATCGAGACGAATATCGTCGGTCCACATTTCCCGTTATATTCGCGTGTTGCAAACCGAGATCAAACGGACGTGTCTCTCTTTCATGCAATTTTATTAGCATATGACATAAAGCAACGTCGCGATATTGCAGAGACGGCAAAGCCCTTTCGGCTATACTATTGGCTCACACCTACCTTGTCCCTTTTATGAAACATTGAGCATGTGCCGAATATTAACACGAATGCATCAAACCAAGATGCAAACTTAGCGAGAAACCACAAAAACCCCTCTAAGAGGATTCCTTAGGAAACGACGAACTCCGCCAAAATAGTATAACGTTCTCATTTTGGAATTAAAAATATCAGTAATTAGCTGATTTTCGAAGAATAATTACTGATATTTTGCATTTTACATTATAAATCATCCAGACCAAATATGTATTAGAAATTCTTGTATACATGGCACACATGGAAACACTTTTTGCTACGTTTAATACTATTATAGGTTTAATATATATTTAATATATATATATATATATATATATATATATATATATAATACTATTATAGGTTTATTAGTAATATATATTGCTGTTTTCCGCTCCATTATATTTACAACGCACACACACATACGTACGAATCGTAATACAAACTATACTTTTATACTAGATTTCTAATCTAGATTTAGAGGATAATAGTGCTTTCTTTCGTGTATCTTAATCCCAGGGATCTTGTGTTTATATTCATACAAAATGTTTTTTATATAAAGCACATAATATGATGAGTTGGCAACTCGTCTGTCATTCGAGACATCATATAGAGACAAAAGTAGATAAGGAAAACTATGATTTCGTAATTATTTCTCGTTTTTCATGTGAAATCGAACTTTCCTAGGATCATTGATGTATATATTGCAATCATAGAGAAGCATTTTTAATTCTGTTAAAGTAAGGAGATGCTGACCAAATATATTTTATCGATGAAAAAAATGAAATTAAATTTGACTATAAATCTATTTATTGGCTATATACGGGTTGTTTATTACTTGAAATTATATGAACCCCCCTTCCCCCCGATTTGTTAATATTAATACTTTAATTGTGCGAAAGGATTTATCAATCTGTATAGTCAATCAAAATATAGATACTTGAACTTATAAAATCTCATAAAATTATGAGCTCAAGTACCTATATTTTGATTTACTATACAGATTGATAAATCCTTTTACACAATTAAAGTATTAATTTTAACAAATGGGGGAACTCATAATTTCAAGATAGTCGAAAAATCTAACCTCACTTTTTTGATCGATAAAACAGATTTGATCAGCATCCTCTTAATGCAACAAAAAACTAGAAGTACGAAAATAATAGTTGCTAAAACAGACAGTCGTAAAAAAATCCTTTTAATTATATTCATGTGAATTCAAATAAATTCTACGCTTTCTCGAGACATAGAGTACATAGATTGCATAGAGTGCCCCGTCTAAATAGCTTCACAGCGCTCTCTACAAAAATTTTCCAACTGCACTTTCAAGTAAATACGCATTTTTGCGCGCTCGCGATCTTCGTTTTTTCTTCGGTCAAGTTTTTCGTCTGACGGGCGCAAAGCATTCCGTCGTTGCCATTTTCTTCCAGTTTCGCGGCAAGGCTTAACAAAAGTTTCGAAAGTAACTCCGGACTAATTATTCAGTTACTTGAAAGCTTCGTTCTACGCTATACCGCACCCACTTTACCACTCGGATTAAAAGTTACCTCCATTTCCAGAATACGTCCTAAAATCTTATAACTTTCGATGATAGATAAAATTCATTAAGTCCGACAGCCCGCGCTCGCTGAGTTTAGCTTATAATCGTTTCCTCGATGCAGCTATTAATTTTTAACAGCCCGGAACAATTTTCATCAATGCTAACGTATGATGAAATCTATTTTAAATTGTTTTAAATCACATATTGAGCCACCGTAAATTCTATACATAAAAAATTGTTATCTAAATTTCTTCGCAAAACCTTTATCAATAATTATAATAAACGACTACATATTTTTTGCAATCTAATGTACACAAATCAAATTTAGTCTTCAAGTGAATTTTGGCTTGAAAAATTATTTCTTCAACACGCAAACTCCATCAACATTTTTTTATAACATTTTTGCGCAAATGTTTCATCTATTTATACCATTTGAAAATTAATATTTGCGTTTTTCGCGTTGCAACGATATTAAATTTTAGGGCAAAAAAAAGCTGCGTTCAGATTAATCGCGATAAAACAGGGAATTTCGAGTATTTGCGCTTTCGCCAAAACTTTTTGCACACGCGGAATTGATCCAGCGCGCTCATTACGTTCGTTTTACGAATGTGTGTAGTAGATAATTTTATAAATATTCCCCGCATTACCGTCGCGCGGCACCACTGATGACGCACTCTCATGAAATTCAACCGGAGAGAGAGATCTTGCATAGGAATTTTAATATAATTACTTGTGTGTAACTACGAGCGTTCGCGTAAATCCGCGTATAGCAACGTGGATATGCAACTTATGCTACATAAATCAAAGTTGCTACACAGATATGAAATTTTCCCTAGAACTCTACGAATTTCGCTACGATTTCGCTGTGACTAATAAACCCCGCGATCTCTCGCGAATCAAAAATTAAAAATGTAAAAATTAAGTAAACAGCAAATATAAAATAAAGAAAAAAAATAATTCGAGAGTATATTTTATCATCATATTTTCTTGTTTATTCTTTTTTGCTTCCTCATAGAGGAAACTTTATTTTCATGAGAAAATTGTTTTCAGTTTTCTATGCCAATGTATTCAGAGTGTTCAAAAACATCGAGAAATCATGTGTGTATATATGTGTCCCACTTTTCTGAAAATTTCAATGTTTCAAGAATTGTTTAAGTTACAGCGCTTCAATTTGGCATACAAATAAAATAGAAATAACACTTTTATTTACTATAATTTTTATAAAAATGTATACAGTATTTTAAATTTTAATGCAATTTTATTTTTCAAAAATGTCTGAGGTTCATTTTTATAAAATTAAAAATTTTTTAAATTTTTGTGGTTACTCTAACTTCTGTAAATTTTAAAATATTGGACTAAATTTTTTTACATAAATAAAGTATCATTAAAGATTTGTATTAAATTTGGTGCAGATTGATGAAAGAATTTACTTTTTATAAAACTTTGAATTTTTAAGAATTTTTTTGTACACTTTTAAACTTTCATAAATTTTGAAATATTGAATTAAATTTTTTGCTTGAATAAAATATTATTAAAAATAATTGATATTGAATTTGGCGAAAATCGGCAAAAGGGTTTTTTTTATGAAATTTTTAATTTTTCAAAAAATATAATTTTTGAATTTTACGAAAAAACATACAAAAGTAGGTACATACATACACACATACATATAAACATGACAAGAAATGTTATTTTATGTGAAAAAAGTGTGCAAATTGGAAACTTAAAGAAGAAGCCAAAATTGAAAAACCAACTTGCTCATAGAGAAAGCTTAATAAATGAAATGGAGGCTGAAGAAGCAATGTGCAAATTTCCAATTTGCACACTTTTTATATAAATATATCCGATTTTATGTAGATTTTTATGATTTTTCATACACTTTACGGCCCAAAGTCTGTATAAATGCGTTTGAAATTTTGCGCGCGGGAATGTCGATGCAGGAATGAATTCACACCGATGGGAGACTCACTCTCATAACTCATGATTATATACAATACATTGATAAATGCACATGTTCCGCACGTTATATATTTCGCGCGCGCTATTTATGTGATGAAGTATAATCGATATTATTTATTCTGTTGCAGGTACGGTGACATTTATCATCGGTTTCACAGGATGCGTCGGCGCTTTACGGGAGAACACATGCCTCCTCGCCGCGGTAAGCACCTCTATGGGATTTAATTAAGCTTTCGCGTTGGATTACTTTAATTGTTCAATATCTTTCGAAACTTTCAGAAGTTTCGATCGAGCTTCCGGTTCGTTACGTGATATCCATGGTCTATCGCTCTCCTACGTGCAATCGAACAAAAGTTCGTCCTTTGAAAAATGGAACGTTTAAAAGTATTTAAGGATCGAAAAGACTCAGCTTTCTTTGGAGATTAGAGTTCCTATATAACAAAAAAAATAACAATCGATCGTGACAGTCGAAAAGATCTTGTTTTTTAAAAGGACAGAAAACGACATTACAATAGCTAGTAATTAATTTCTTCTCAGGGATCTCCTACCAAGGATTTTCGTTCGGAGTTAATTTCGCATTATCCTGTTACAGTACGCGATATTTCTGGCGCTACTACTGCTAATGGAAATGACTGCCGGTGTCTTAGGATTCATCTTCAAAGATTGGGTAAATATTTTATAGCATCTACATGTTTTATTTTATTTAATTTGAAGTCTTATATTACATTTTAAGAATTTATAATAATAATAATAATAATAATAATAATAATAATAATAATGATGATAAAATAGCAAGAAAAATAACATGAAAGATCTTGAACATTAAATATACAAATCTTGAATATTAAACATATATGCATGTATATAGAGTATCTTATTTTAAATAGTATAAAAAACGTGTAATTATATTTTTTTAATTATGTAGTTGTAGCCTGCAAATCACTTTTTTTAAATCACAAGAGTATATATTCCTTATCCATTATTCTATGCAAAAAAATTAAGATTTAAAGAATGAGTACATTACGAGATATATATTTCATATTTTTTGTCAAAAACTGTCAGAATAAACCATAAAATATCTTGTAAATCATTCATTTTTCGACTATTTCATTCTAACATTTTTACGCCAAATATTACAAGGATTCGATTTATGTAAAAAATTATAATAATTTCGTTTAAAAAAGTAATGATGACCTCGAAATTTAAAAAATGCCTTCACCTGGAATAAGATTATGTTTACAACAAGACGTCTCTCTCGAAATCCTACTTTTGTATAAAATTTGTTTTTTTTTTAAATAACAAGATTTGTATATTTAATGTTCAAGATCTTTCATGTTATTTAAAATGGAACATCCTATATATAGGTATATATATATATATATACACCTATATATAGGATGTTCCATTTTATATATTAAATTTAAAGAATTACTAATTAATTCCATTAACCGTATCCATTATATATATATATATATATATATATATATATATATATAACAAATAATTAAAGTAAAATATTATAAATAATATCGTACTACAACTATAATTCAGTATCACTTTTTATCTTACATAACGTAGTAGAAGTTTAATTATTCACGCAAATGAAATTTGCAACAGCTTTGCTAAAATTCTGAAGATTTCTACAGAATTGAATATTTGTAAAATATAAGTGTACTCGTTTCTCTCTCAAAACAATTTCGCCGCGTTCGTTCACCGTAATCGTTTCTTCTTACAGCGTTTATTAATACAGTAACTACAGGGAGCCTTGGTTAAATTATCAAAGCGAATAAGCCGAATGCATTGTACAATATTCGCCGGTGCATATTTCACAATCTCATTCGCCCAAGAATACATGCACGCGCGCGCTCGTACAAAAGCAAGACGAACACGTAGAACAGTAGTCTAGGCCGTGCGCCGACGAAGTTTGCGTATAATTATGCAGCAAGTTCCCGGGTTACTAATTAATTCCATTAACCGTATCCTTTAAACATGACGAGAATTTTCTCTTCCGCCGACGGAAAATTTGAACGACCAACAAACGGCGCTATCGTATCGCGCGTAGCTCGCTGTTTTAATGCGCGCCGTTTTGCTTTACGACAGGCGGAAAAGTTAAGTTTCGTCCTTGAGCATTCGCACCTGCAGCGTACCTGTAACTGCCGTCAATCGTCGAGGGAGCAAGGAATATTCCGAGTCAGAAATTACCGATTGTAACAAAACATCACGGAGAAAGATTGTGAAACTTTTTACACGATATTCCCATCTTCGATATTTCTGCTTATTTTATTTTTGTCGGCCAGATTGTTGGAGATATGGATCTCTTATTAATGTCAATTAATGTATTAATATAAATTAAAATAGACATTCTCGTTTAAAAATCTAAAAATTGCATAATTAATACATAGCTAGAATATCTATAATAATATCTATATTATTCAAAATGATTCATCCTATTTCGAATGCCTATATTTTGAAGTTTAACAAATACATAGAGTGATAGTAATATGTAATGATTAATGATGTATCAATTAAAAGAAAAATTGCCCGAATTTTGTCTTTTATCTTATAAGTGACTTCCTTTAGAGTTACACATCGAGAGACGATAGTCAAATTCCTTTCATACTGACTCTATAACAATACAATTTTTGAACTCATCTCAGGTTTTCTTTAATATACATGTAATATTGAAATCTCTAAGTGAATGTAATATCCAATGACCTAAGAAGCCAACTGTAGAGCACTAAATCATTGGATATTATTTTTCCTTTTGGGGATACATTGAGAGTCGCATTATTATCAACTGTATAGAGTCAGTAATAACGGATATATTAGATTTGACAACATATTGACGTTGCTGGTGTGATTAATTGTAATAGAAGTCATCGAACACTTATGAGGTGAGAGACTAAATTTGAAAGTTTTTCTTTTGATTAATGTGTTACCAATCATAATGTTTTTGTAAACTTCAAAAATAAAGCCATTAGAAATCGAGTAAATCATTTCAAATAATCCTGTATAAAGTGCAGACAATTTACATTAATTAGAGTGATATTTTATTTATTATGCAGATAAAGTCACAAGCTACGGGGGGCTTCCAAGCGTTCATCATCCACTATCGGGAGGATCCTGATCAACAAAATCTCATCGACTGGATCCAAGAAGACTGGGTGAGTTAATTAAAATTATATATTCAATTACATTGACATATACTGCATGCATTTCCTCCACCGTGGATTCAATAATATAATTTCGAAACACACATTCCCCTCACATACGGCTATCCTTCGCCAAAGAGTATCGAATAATCAAACTCGAACCAAATGGCTACGGCCTTAATATATGGCATACGTAAAGCAGGTAGGAGGGAAAAGCGGAAGCGGCCGTTCTCGCGCATTCCTAACAATAAGTAGCACAGGAAATTGTGCGGTTAGACGGTTTTGCCGATACGCAAGCTTGCGCGAACTTCGAGTCCGCAGCACGAAAATCTGGCCGGGATCAGATCAGCTTCCGCGACCGTCTAAATGGCGCGTAATATAGTAGTAGAATTCGACAATCGATATCTGGTCATCCAATTGTGGTTTATGAGATTTCAATAGAACCACTCGGGTGGTACGCTGCCGCAATTTCGGTAATCCTATCAGTAGAAGCTAGTCGACGGTAAACCGCACACGTCGCTCTCGCGCGCGTCGCGCTCCACACGTTACTAGATCTGACGAAAATTTCATCCAATTCGCCATACTTTAGCGAGCACGGGACACGACAGGGTGTGATTTACGTTTCGCCCAAGTATCCGGTGGAACCGCGAGAATTAATTCAACCGATGGATTCGTGGTGCGCGTTCAATGGAACACGGGTTTAACTAGAAAACGAACCCCACAGAGAGAGAGAGAGAGAGAGAGAGAGAGAGAGAGAAAGATACGATAAATGTGACTTTGGGGAGAATGTTATTTCTGGGACACCCTCAATTTGATAGATGTGTTTGATAAATTCTTTTACCGAAGAAAAAAATATCGCAAACTACGATGACTAACGATACTAACTATATTGATGCGATCAATAGTCTTCGAGATATCGATGTTTTAATTTTCTTTAATTAAATAAGAAATAATTTTATCAGCTCTTAGTATTAATAATAATATAATTATGATAATTAAATCGGCCAATAGAACCAAGCGCGAAAATTAATTTTTCGGAACTGTATCTCTTGGTTTGAGATTATTACTAAATTCCATATATTTAAAATTAACCTCGAACTTTCTTTAATTATATATTGAGATTTAAAAATTTGGCAAGAAGTTTTTGTGATTTAGAGATTTTAAAGATTTTTCATTTTTGTTAATATAATTTTAATTTTGGTTTAATAAAAAATGAGTTTAAGTTAGGTTAGGTTAAGTTAGAATTTTTTCTGAGTGGAGATGCAGAAAGAGCTTCTCTTCTGCCTCCCTTTCGCTTATAATACACACATAACACTAAATTATTCCACCAAATATGTTCTTTTTTAAATGTACATATAGTACCATCAATTATTGTGGCGAAAGAGTGGTATTGCTATATTATTGTTATTATTGCGAAAACTTAAATTAATATATCTCAAAAACTAATCGTAAAGCATTGTTGGTTTGCGGCATCTTTTAATAAAAAATCCTATGTGTGGAAATGATCTGTCAAATCAAGAAATCCCAGAAATGACATTTTTGCAATGTTTTCGATCAAAATATGCTATTTAATAAGCTTATGCATTTTTATTTTATATTCCGTTGGATCCATCTATCGATCGAGTCAGGTACGCGCATAAATTATCGCGCATTCCGGATACGTATGAAAACATTTGCGAACTGATTCAGTTAATGTCGGAACACGCAGGCAGCGGGCCTCAGAGACCGCTGATGAGTCCACAAACATCGAATTACGACCACTAAATTCCATCATCAGTCTCACCATTGCGTTTAATAGTCCCAGTGGACTATTCTTATGTCGCCGATGATTAATAAAGCGGTTGACATTTTAACAATTTGGATAAAAGAATAAAACTAAGGAGAAAAAATATATATGTATCGCGCATATATTTTATCAATCTAATTGAGAGCTGAAAGATGCTTATGGGGACTCTATCATAGTTTTCTGACAGATTCTGTAGAATTAATCTTAAATATCCAAAGGTGGCATGTGTATAATAAACATAGGAAAAAATTGTATTTTTATTTTAAGAATTTCTTACTTATTTTTACAAAATCTGTTCTAAAATAGACAATAAAAATCCATTTGTTTTTAGAGAGGAATTCTCTAACGATTAATAATAAATATTTCTAGTTTATAAAGATATGTAAACAAAATGAGATCTATTTTATATTAATAAAAATGTACATTATTTTACATTACAGCATACAGACGAAGAAAATCCATAAAAATATAAACATAGTACATATATAGACCGAGCATGAGACCTGAGTCTTCGAATGATTAAATTAGGTTATGTTACACGTTGCTTACTTGTGAACATTTCTCTTAAATCGCTTAAGTCTTCTTTTTTGAATTTAATAACTTTATCTATTCTCTTAATAAACTAAAACTATTTACACAATGACAAATATTGCACTGCAATGTAAATTGCAATACTATATAACCATCATACACGTTGCAATAACAACATGATCACATATAACACCAAATGATCAGTTGGCATAAAAATATCATTTGTTATTAACAAAAAATATATTCTTAGTTTTAGAGAATATTTCCTAGAAACTTAAAAATATCTAATAATAATATATATGTAACCTCTAACATACTTAATTGGCGTTATTATCGACTTTAGTACTGTTTCGTTATGTCAAGGCATGATGACATAAACATAACTCGATATAATTTGATTATTTTGACATAAGTTAAATCTCTCCGAATCATAATTTATTCTCACATCTAAAAGACGAAATGCTGTAACTCCGAGTAAGTCTTTAAATTGTAATTCATGTTTCGTTCAATTAGCGTGGCTGATGTAACAATATCGGTTTTTTTAGAATATCACAATTGTATTTTTGATAAGGACCACAACCCGTATGGTCGAAACGTTAAAATAAACATATATTAACAACTCTAAATTGAAGCCAGTGTTTGTCAGTTCAAATTTATAACCATAGTTATAACCACAATAATATATATCTATTAATAGTTTTCTGAGAATACTTTTTCGGTAGACGAAAGATAAAAATATAGCAGCGATATTTCGAAAGATTCAGGAATAATCTCATCTAATTGTATGTACATATATATGATAGCCGCGATTCGGCCCGTGAGCTATCGGGAGCGCGGAACTCGTAGAACTCGTTAATCGACGATCAACCGACCAATTGTGTGGTTCGCGAGATTTCAATAGAGACGCCCGGTATGCCGACGTGCAATTCCGGCAATCCTATCAACCTCGGGGAAACCGAGATACCGCCGAGTTGCTATATACTGTATTGTCTGACCTCGTCGGGGATTCACTCGGTACCATTTATAGGCGGTTAATGAAATGCTTAGTACTTCGACTTCGTGCGATGCGGCGAGGAGCGTATTTACCGTATCACCATCTCGCTTATCAATTGGCTCACTCAGTCGGTCCCGGCTCGCACGATCAATATACAGGACGTATCAAGAGAGATGTGTATATATACTTTCTGCGTGTCTAGCAAAGATTTTTCTTTGACAGGGAATATCTCCCGTGTGATTCCGATTTATCAGGACATTGAGCGTCCTAATCAAAGAGAGTGCAAATTAACTTCACTCATTTGATGACAATCTAAGCATTAAATGAATTAAAACCTGAGAATATATGTTATTAATTGTCTATCTATATCATTTGTGTCTGTATACGAATACTTATTTTGATCGAAATTTTTTTAGATTATAGGAAAATTTTTGGCCAAGACAAAAAATCGATCACGCGAATTGCGTGAAGTCTATAGTCGATTTCTCTTGATATCGTCTGTACAGTGTCGAGCGAATAATTAAATCCAGCTAGAATCGGAAACTCGTATTCCGTATCTCAATATACTCTCATTCGCATCTCGTATGAATATTCCGCGCGCTCGTGTTTCGTTATTATGAATATTTGATTGGAACGAATTGAAACGTTGCCACATGAATGATTGAAATAAAACGATGCTAAAAACAAATCAGCTAAATTACGCAGTTGGTCGGAGATATCCGCTTGATATTACTTTTCCGTCCTCAACATGGAGAGCTTTTTCTTTCTTCCTTATACTCTCGATATATCGGCTTTGCGTGATGGTCATTTCTTATATCGCGGTATACATAACGAATCGTCTGTAATTGAATCGTATTAAAGCACGTGCAAGATGACAAAAGAGCCGTTCTCGCACATGTAATCCCGTCATTATTAATAATAATTGAATTAGCAAATATTCCCAATAACGCGGTTGTGTCTATTTTTAATACCGATATAAAATATAATACTTTACGTGCTGAGTAATTTATTTTTAAATCTCTAATTAAACGTAAAATTTAATTTTTTCGACTTTATTCACACCACTGTCGCGTTGCACCGAGAAATACGAATATTCTCGTGGTTAATTAATTATACGATAAACTCGCAAGACACGCGCGGTTGATTAATTAATACGTCCAACGTATAATAATAATATTAATTGGCGGTACAACGTATTATCTATCCTATCTCGTAAACGTAATTGATTGTCCCAAACGAATTAATGCTTGCAAAATAACTGAACGAATTGTCCTTCAAAAATAATCTATCATCTAACTCTATAACTTAACTATTACTACAAAATATGTCATTTTTTCCACATGTTTGTATGTACACAGTTAAATAAATTTTGTCTTATTATAACGTTACAATTACTTTGTTTCCATCAACAAAATTTTTCAGATTTCTATACCAATGTGTTTAGAATATTCCAAAACATCGAAAAAACATATCAGACTTAATTTCTTTTTACACAAATAGAGTATCATTAAAGGATATTTAATATTGAATTTGGCGAGGGTTGGTGGAAGGATTGATTTTTTATGAAATTTTGAATTTAAAAAAAAATGTAAATTTTCGAATTTTATGAAAGAAACATACGAATTTTATGAAAGGAACATATAAAAATACATACATACGTATATAAACACTTACACATACATATATACATGACAAAATATCATTTTACATAAAAAAAGTGCAAATTAGAAACTTGCACATTGCTTGTTTATTATTCTATTTTACTCATTAATAACCTTTCTTTATGAGGAAATTGAAAAATCTTACACATAAAGGAAGCTTTATTTTCATCAAAATTTTTTTCAGATTTTCTATATTAATGTGTTCGAAATGTTCCAAAACGTCACAAACACATGTCTAAAAAAACACATATCGGATTAAATTTTTTTTACAAATGGAATATTAAAAGATACTTAATACTGAATTTGGCGAGAATCGGTAAAAAGATTCATTTTTTATGAAATTTTGAATCTTTCAAAAATTTTCAAATTTATAAAAGAAACACAAGTATTGTACAAAAGGAATATATAAAAGGCACACACGTATGTATAAAAGTATATATATACGTATACGTGACAAAATGTTATTTTATGTGAAAGAAGTGTGCAAATTGGAAACTTGCATTGCTTTCTCACCATTCTATTTCTCAACTCATTCAGCTTTCTCTATAAGGAAGTCAAAATTAAAAAACCTCGCTCATAAAGGAAACTTAACAAGCGAAATAGAATGGTGAGAAAGCAATGTGCAAGTTCCCAATTTGCACACTTTTTTAACTACGGATATATATTATATGTAAACTTTTTTCTTTATTTTGACGTGAGGAATATGTAAGAGAAGTTTGTCCAAATACCTATTTCGTAAACGCGCTATATACATACGGGTCACCTCGACTTAAGACTTTTGACTTACAATTAAACTAACACCAAGAATACACAGTTCCAATATGGACATCACGTTGTGGGACACCCTGTATAACATACACTGTAAAAAAATATTTTAAAAATTACACTTATTGTTCACATAAGTAATATTTTTTTACAAATATATACAGGGTATGCGGTAACTCGTGCTCCACCCGACAGATGCAGGTAGAGTAGGAGGTGAAACTGAATAGAAAAGTCTTCTACCATTTTTCGATATTCGCAATAATTATTGAGAAATTAATTGAAATGCTCAATTGACCAATGGCGACACATCCGAGAAGGAATAAGTCGCCTCGAGCTCTCTCGCAGGAAAGATAGAGATATTAGAGGTTTAATGAAGGTCTCGAAACTTGGACCACCAAGCGTCACCGACCGAATCCAACGATCCACGTCGCGTCCTCCGGTCTTTTTCTCATTCCTTTAATACTCGGCTGCTTGCGATGGGGATTCCCTCTTTCCTTTCGCACTCTTATTACCTGTGGATAATACGCGCCAATTCGTTTTCTCTCTCTTTTCTTATTGCGCGCGACTGGGATCTCTATATAAATCGCGTATTTAATATTGCATCACTCCTCAATTCCCGGCGCGGCCGGAATTATTTATACGACGGCGTTTGAAATTCATATTTTCATCCATGGTATTCATCGCAAATTCGATCACGATTGATCACATCGACACTGCATATCGCCAATAATGCAAAATATCCCTTGATGCGCTTTGTGAGCGCGATTCTTTAACTTCGCTCTCACATACATATAGATAACATTTCATTCTGGACTGTATGAACGTTTTTAAAGCAGGAAATTTTTCACTCTACTATTACGTACAAAAAACTAGTCTAGAAAACGAGTTCTAGCGTTCTCTGCAGATATAATGGATCAGTGAGAATGTAAAATGTCAATCTAAAATTTTATAAAAGTGTATATACCTGTGTGTGTCCATCTTTATATTGTGGCGATTACATCGTCACATACACCCCAAAAATTAGCGATCAAAAACACTTATACGAATACGGCCACACACATGCGAAAAAGTACCGAGACACAGGTAAATATAAATAAAAACATAACAGACGAGACAGAGAGAGACGAAAGACGAGAAGCACAGAGACAAATATCGAGACGTTAAGAGACAAAGGAAATAAACGAACATAAAATTCTCGAAGCCTCTCGAAGGTCGATTTTGAGGCGAAAGATATGAAGAGCGATTTTGCGTTCGAGAGATTCGGTTATCGACTGTCACCGCGTACGGACGTACATTGTAAATACGAGCGATCTGATATTCATGTACGGACTTTTAAGGACTTTGCTTTCACAGTGAATATACTCTCAGTTACATGTAATTAATGCCTCTCATTATTTTAATTCCTGACTCGTACAGATTAATAATTCCCTCCACGGCAGTTAAAATATCTATCTACAATTTTTATGACTTTACATTTGCAATAATATTTTATTTATAATAAAATATATACCTTAATTATTGCGCTCGATTCTTATTGTTATTTTCTGTTATCTAATTGACTATACAAGATGAATCATAAGTATGTTTTAAAAATTTGTGAGCATATTCCTGGATAATAAATATGAACAAATATTCCTATGAACAATTAGATCAAAAATGCTTCGTTTGAAATAATGACTTTTGTTGAAAAAGTGTATCTTTTTATTTCTTAAAATAAAAACATTCTCTAAAATGTTATACTAAATTAATGAATCAATACTATATAATATTGCTATATGTACCTATATTTTTCTTGAAAAATTATAATGTATTATTGTATAATATTATAAAATTTATCGTCTTTTATCTGATTTCAGTTACAATGTTGCGGCATCGAGGGCCCAAAGGATTGGGACCGCAACAATTATTTCAATTGTTCGTCGAGCGATATCGGCTCGAGGGAAGCGTGCGGCGTGCCTTTTAGCTGTTGCAAGCGAAAACCTAATGTAACTCTATATTCTGATTAGTATATGCAATCTTCAATACTATTGAAAAATATTTTCTCTATAAAATTATTAATTGCTCTGTTGAAAGTCAATTTTCTTATTTGTCTGTTTCAGGAAATTATTAAAAATAAACAATGTGGCTACGATGTTAGAAAGCCTAGTTATGTGAGTATATCTTAATTTTATCACTTTAATATCACTTAAGGATGTATGGGAGACATTTAAAATTCATAAAAATTATACAGATCGTTTCCACTTTACTAAAGCTACTGTTAAAATTTGAATTTAGTTCACTCATTTAAAAATTATTGCAATTTAATATTCCGCTAGTTTTACATATAATCTTGTGAAAATTCGTTGAAATATGATCGATTATATTACATTAAAAATATCAAAAAATAGTACCATGTATTTCAACTTTTTAAGGAACAGTGTTGCAAAATTACATTAACATTCATTAAACCGTTTAGAAGAAAATTTTTTTTTAATTCTGGCTTTTTTACCGATTACTGAGCATTCGGTTGTATCAACGCTGGAAACGGATTGAAAATAATTAGAAACTATAGCGATTTTCTATAAGATGTACAGATTTTCTATAAAATGAATAGCATTGATACTTTTGTGTCTCTTGTATCTTCTATACATCCTTAAACATTTTTAATTTACATTTTTGCTTCCTTACTCTCTTCCCTTCTTTCATCATATGGTAAGAGTAATGACTAACGAAAAAAAAAAAAACAAGAATTTGCAGATATAAAAAAAGTTGGCAGTTATAAATATTAACTCAACTATAATAGCTATTTTTTATTGATTTATCATTTTTGTTTAAACTTTTTTCTATGTTCTTCTTAACTATGAGTTTATCTTGTCAAAAATCTTTCATCGTATAAGAGATTCTACAACAGAATTCTTTTATTTATTTCATTATTAACAACCGCAAATTACACATCACACTTACATTACATCCTAGTATTCCGAATGATATCCTAGTATTTCGGCCACTTCTAATTTCGCTTTGTTTCCAATTCCGAAACTTGCGTTACTTCGCAAAAGATACGGCAAACCAAGTGGGGAAACGTGCCTCGAAGGGGCACCGAATAATTTGTCTTTGGAATTGCGTTCTATCGCGCGAAGCTCAGATTTGAGATAAGGGAGGGAAGGAAGGTGGTAGTTCGCGCAAGGGATAGTTAGTTCTGCATAGGCCGCCCGCGCGCAAGATTACACAGTATCTATACACATTCACCGGTAAAAAACGACCCAACGCACGGGTCAAGAAACCGTGGAACTTAATTAGAGAGAAAATGCTCTCTCGAGTCCAAGGGACGAGTGAAAGCGCGGAGGAGATATAAGAACTTCTGTGCCGGCTCCTATTTTAAGAGTAGATATATCATCCCCGATGTAATGGCTCTTGAAACCCGCCCTCGCTAATTACGCTTTCATCGAGAACCCGTCCCCCCTCATCCCTCCCTCATTGCTTAATTATAATTTTTGTCGGCCGATCGTTAATGCGCCGCGATGCGTTACGTGCCGATAAAACGCGAATAAATAAATAAATAAATAACGATAAAGAGCTTTTTCCGAACCGGTATACATTAAAGCATCGCCGCTATTACGTATTCACTTTGAACATGTACATGTGTGCGTGTGTGTTGGTGTGTGCATCACGTAAATAAAAAATTTAATAGAAATTAAAATTAGATCGATTGAAATTAAATCCAAGACAGATATTATCTATCCAACTAATTTTACAAATAAAAATAATTTCGGATAAGGTATACCGCAATGGGCGGATTTCGCAAAAATCTACTACGCGGAAGAGAATTGATGATGTTACGTGTTCACCATTTCGTTGCAACACACTTGCACTAGACCACTTCACGCAACAGCGAACACATCACGAACACCTTATTACATTTCTCTTACTTTCCCCCTGTGGTTTAGACCGCTAAATTATGCTCGCGCGTCAGTCGATAAACTCTCTTAAGTTCTCCCTTTTCCCTAGATGGGCGTCGTGAGCTTTGTAGATTCTCGCGGTAAAGCGTAAAAGACGTATCTGTGTGCACGAGAATCGCGATTAAAGTAATCCTAAACGTCCTTGAGTTTCAGTCCTGTTTTATCGACAAAATGTGAGATTAGATAAACTATAAATTTGTTTATTGGCTATACGGATTGTTTTTTACCTGAAATTAGAGCACTTCGCCCTTTGTTAATATTAATATCTTAATTTGTACAGGAAAAAGATTTATTAATCTGTATATTGTCTCATATATTTAGGTTACAAAATTCTTGAATTCTTAAACTCATAATTCTGTAACCTAGATATATAAGACTATACAGATTGATAAATCTGTTTTTTATAGAAATTAAAGTATTAATATTAACAAAGAAGGAAGCGCTCTAATTTCAGATAAAAACAACCCGTATAGTCAATAAATAGATTTATAGCTGAATCTAATCTCACATTTTGTCATAAAACAGGACTGAAACTTAGGTTAGCTTAGAATTCCCTTAAGAGGAAAAATAACCTTTTTTTTCATTTATTCTCTTTCGATGCCGACGAGAGCGAGGCGATGTTTACTCTCGGCATAAAACGGCGATCTAATTTCTTTAAGCTCTTAAACGAGAGTCTTAATGTGTCTGCTGACTTTTTAAATCATTTCCATTTGCTCCCTTCGGACCGATGCAGACGGGAGAGAGAAGTATATTCGAACGGGGTTGTCTAAGAGCGGGCGAAGAGTGGCTAGAATTGAACCTCGTACCCGTCGCTGGCACCGTGGTCAGCACTATGGTTCTGCAGGTACTCTTTCCCCAGAAAACTGTCGTCCATCAAGCTGGGAACTCCGAAACTTTCTCTGCTCGTCAATCGACCAATCGATCTATTCAACTGCGCGTCGATCGATCGCTCGACAAAATCAAAATCGAAATATTTTTTCTGCTTAAATATAATCTGCTTAAATATAATCTGGAAAAGAGTATACTGAATTGGGAAAATTTTGTGCTACAAAACCAATCGGCATAAAACTTGACGTAATAGACATAGTATGAGGTAAAATATGAAGAAATCTAATCAAAATCGAATAGCTAAATGAGTGGATCTTGGTAAAAAAATTAGAAAATGGATCCGCTGGATCATATAGCGACAGTACTCATTTATCACTCATACAATCTCATTTTGGCAGTAAAATAATGTTGATTTTGATAGCCATTTTTACACCCTAATTTAACCTTATTTAATTTAATCTAAATATCTTTTTTCTTATCTTTCAAAAAAATGTTACACGCAAAAGTTGTTTAACTTTAAGGCTCGTTCTACAATACACGTCGTATGTCGCAGTCGGATGTCAAAATGATAATCCAATAAGAAAATTTCTTTTTCGAAAACACCTCATTGGACAATCGCTTACGTTCCGACATCCGACTGCAACATACGACGTAATGTAGAACGGGCCTAAGGGAATACTAGACAACATTATCAATTTGTTTACAGATAACACTACTTTTGATCACATATCACTTTTTTAAAAACTGGTTTTTTTTATAAAAATTGTAGATCACATCTACAATAGTGATAAATTTATATATTCTTAATTAGTATTAAGAATTTTCTTGATTTTTCTATGAATTATAATTTTTTTTAATTTTGGAATATTAGTGTTCCATAAAACATGTCAAAAAGTACTTATCAAACAAATGTGTCCCTAGAAATACTTTCCTAGATACATATTCCCTTTTAATAACTGAAATTATTTCCATACAACGCCACCACTTTGATCATATCTACTATCTCTCGCGGTGGGTAATTCAGTTTGATCTCATTGAAAGTGATTTAATACTATTATGAAATTTAATACTATTATGCAATTGTAGAACCAGAATATTACTATTAAAAACAAAATAAAATTTAATTCGAACAGAAAATGCCTTTCGACATGTTTGTGGAATAATAACCATTCCAAAATTTAAAAATAACTTATGGAAAAATCAAGAAAACTTTGAACTAATAAACATGGTTTTATCTTAATGAAACTTACAATTTCTATTAAACTTCTAACAAAAATTGATTTGCATTTTAAAAAAAAGTAAAGATTAACGAAAATTAAAGAATTTTTCGAAAGTAAATCTATAAACAAATTAATATCGATGTCTTTTATATATATATATATATATATGGTATATGTTCCTCTTAAAGTTAAACCACTTTTATACAAAACTTTTCTTGTAATCGGCGTAGGAAAAAAAATATTTAGGGTAGGACATTAAAAATAGCTCACTCTATATACATATATATATATATATATCACAATATTATATAAAAATCTTATATGTATAATATAAACATTTTTTTTTCAAAATGGAGCAAACACGCATTTAAAAACTACTATTTCAATTATTTTATAATACATTTATCTACGTAAACAGAAATCCGAGTGATATTTCTATTTCCGCGAATGAAAGTTTCTATTTTTATTCGGGCGAAATTGCACCGCGCAGCATAGAAATAAAGTATCTTGAGCAAGAAGCGGATTTTCAGACAAACCTAACCTAACCGCGTATATAAGTTTCGCGCAGCGAAACACAGAGAGAAAGAGAGAGAAATACCGGGACAATAAAGCGCTCGCGAACGCGGGAGATTGATAGTCGCGATCGTCGTCACGGAAAGGAAAGTACCAACTATCGTTCGTTGCACTCGACGGTGACATCTGCAAGAGAGAGAGAGCGCGTATTTCCGCCATCAAATGACGATCTTCGATCGAGCGTTGACTTACTTACCTTTTCTAAAAGCGTACATATACGTATAATGAATATGCTAGAATATGCGCGCTTACAGTTTGTTGCCGCCGATCGATCCGCTTTTATACACATCGCACGGTGCAAAGACCGAAAGAAGTAAACTTTGGCGAGGAAGAGAGTCAGGGCGAGAGAAAGGGAGAGAGAGGAGCGATCGACCGAGAGCGCAAGCGCGTGTACGCCACATGCAAAGCGGTTTACTGTTGAAACTTTAATTCCATTAAGCGATATTTTGCACGCGGCAAGTCGTCGACTAATTCTAAATATGCCGCGCCGAGAGTTTGAGAAAGTTGCAATTTCCCAGCTTCTCGATGCCTTCAGTAAAGACTGTCAGTATTTACGAACGTGGTCGCATGTATATGTATGTTATATATGTA